CGCCATCAATTTATTGATGGCAAAAAAATATACCTATACATTTCGCTAAATCCTCCACAATGACATAATTGTTGTCACCTACTTGTTTAAATTCATTTTGCTGCGTACTGATTTTTCTATTACTATGAGAAAATAAGAGATGATTGTTATCTCAATTTCTTTCAAATGGAGGAAAAAATATTTTCAATGTTTTGTCTGCAACACATATGAAGACAAGCAGCTGGCCGAGTCTTTTTGGCAGGAGACCATTAACCATTACTTCGTGACGATTCCGGTAGTCAACCGAGTTTTATATTTTTGCCTCCTTTATTATTTTTTTTTATTATTTTCTTTTGGTTAGAAGTTCTTTTTTCAAGCCAAATCGAAACTTGAATATATATTTTCGTTGAATATGGCCTCTCACAGCCTCCTCTCTATCGCGAGTGTCAGGAAAGAAAATTTACTTATCTTTCCGGCACTAACAATATTTTTAAAGTCCCAAAGTACCTTTCGTCGGGGAAAAATCCATGAAATTGAGACCTATTGAAAACGCGAGAGGCCAGCGGAGAGATTTTGCGAGACGATTTTTCCCGAATTTGTTTAATCATTTTTGAATTTGTTCACAAAAATAGAGCCGTTGAAAAAAAAAGGTTCCGAGGGACCCATAAATCTCGACGTTTCAAGCGATTCCCAATCGTTTGAATATATATTTGCGAGACCATTTTTCCCCAATTTGTTGAACAATTTTTCGCATTTATAAAAGTGAATTCATTTTTTTCATTTCGTCCATCGGTTGTCTCTCATACCCCCACTCCTGGAATTATCGACACTCGCGTTTGCTGGTCTTTCCGAATTATCACCACTCTCGGGCTCGCGCTCTGCTTTATCTATACCCACGCCCTCCGAAAACTACCGACACTCTTGCCCTCGCGACCTGTTTGATTCACAGGTACACCCGCAAAATTAGATCTGCCAGTACCGCTAGGAAATTCCGCGGTCGACGCTTCGCCATTGGCGTTAGCAATCTCCCCTATAATCTCTGAAGCTGGCTTCCGACTACCTGAAGGTTGCCGGGCCGTGGTTTAAACAATAAAATAGTTAGTGATGATGTCGGTAAGGCAGATACCCTCTGTTCTCACTATGCAAACATTCACCGAATCGCCTCTGAAAGAGGGAATCCTTCCTTCGAGCAGCAAACAAATGCCATCATAAACAAAAAACTTTATACTAACAAAACTGATATCCCGAACGGGACCCTGTGCAATCCCAAGGAAGTATGCAGCATAACACGGAAATTAAAAACTAAATCAGCCCCGGGTATCGACGAAATCCCTAACACAGTCATCAAAAATATCCCTAAAAAAGCATTAGTTTTTCTCACGAAAATTATGAACTCCTGCATTCTCCTACAATATTTCCCTGATGCCTGGAAAAAAGCTGTCGTAATTCCCATTCTAAAACTGGATAAATCGGCTTTCCAGCCAGTAAGTTATTAACCTGTCAGCCTCCTTCCAAATCTTGGAAAGATACTTGAAAAAATCATACTCACAAGACTAACCAGAACTGTCCACCAACAAGAAATTCTCCCAAAAGAATAGTTTGGTTTTAGGGCTTCCCACTCCACCACTCACCAACTTGCAAGACTGATTAACTTTGTTAAAAAGGCAAGTGTAGCTAAGGAATTGTCTGTGGCTCTCTTTCTGGGCAGTGAGAAGACGTTTGATTCTGTATGGTCAGGAGGCCTGGTCCATAAGCTTGTCTCCTTAAACATTCCGGAATTCCTGTATAAAGTTATACATCTTTTTTAGAGAATACACGAGACCGAACGCGCGCTCCGCGCGCAGTTTGATTCCGTGGTGTTGATGATGACGTAGCCAATTGACCAATGAGAAATAGGGTTACGAGTGAAAAGTCTTACGCATGAAGTTAGCCAATCTTACTCTCGCCCAACTTAATTTTGGTGTATCACCTTTTATAGATAGGATATATCCAGGTAAGGGTGGACTCAACCTTATCCTTACCTCAAAAAATTGCCGCTGGAGTCCTGCAGGGCTCTGTATTATCGCCCACTTTATTTAACATTTATATAACTTCTCTTTTCGAAACTTGCCCAAAAAATGTAAATATAGCAGGCTTTGCTGATGATCCAGCTATATATACCTCTAGTACCTCATTAAATAAGGCAGTCTCGCGGCTGGAAAATGCTTCATTTATAATCATTAAGGAATTAAATAAGTGGAAAATCAATGTTAACGAAGGTAAAACTGAAGTAATTATCTTTGGCAAACCCCAAAAAACTTCGATAAAAATTAGAGGAAAAGACATTATGCCAAAAAATTGCACCAAATACTTAGGCTTATGAATTCATTCCAAACTCTTATGGAACCATCACATTAACAAGCTAAACACTAAAGCAAAAAGCCTACTATCCCGCCTTTACTGGCTATTCAAGGCAAACTCTCTTAGTACGAAATGAAAATTAACATTATACAAATCACTCATCAGACCGGTACTAACTTACGGTTGCCCTATATGGCATAACGCAGCTTACTCACACCTAGCAAAACTACAAATTAGCCAAAATAAATTCCTCAGAATCATTGGTAACTTCAACTACAAAACTCAAATTTCCATCATTCACAAAACACTGAATATCAATCTCATTTATGACTACATTTCGTCTCTAACCGAAAACTTCGAATCCAGCCTTATAAACTATACAAATACTGAATTACATGATATAGACGTTAATCTAAGATTACGGCGGTCAAAATAACCATTTTTCTTTTTCTACTCTTATTTTCCTTTCTTCAGCCGCCGCCCCCACCCCCCC